TAAAAATAATAAAGGGAATAATTGCTTACGGGCAGAAAGACGTTTTAATGTGGTTAAACACAAATTACCTGTAGAAAATGGTGTAATTTATCCGTGGATCTGCCAGCAACGGAAAGGAGTAAAATTATTAAAATTATCCATGACGCTGTTCATTGCGGCATAACGTCTAAGCAAAGGAGATTATCGCTAAAGACACAGGGGCCAGGCTATTCTACAGATGTACAAGAATACGTAGAAAGGATGTAAAAAGTACATTTGAAGGAAGAAAATTCTGACAGGCAAAAACACATACATGGCCTAAAGCGTTGAAAATAGGTGTACAACTGAAAGACAAAATATTTCTGGCAAGATTGTTGCTAATCTAGAGGACAATACTACATCGGGGATGATCGAAATGTCCGTTCGCCTTCATGGGTAGACAAATTAGAGCCCCATTGACCATATCCTATGCTACAAACGAAAAAAATTGGTATATGATCTCCCATATCTAAACACTCTCATAGAGAAAGGGCGGAAGATAGTGAAATGCTTCGAGATGAAGAATCAGGGAAAATAAGGCGATATAATATATTCGGTACAGAGAGATGGGGTGACTCATTTACATAGGTAGTCACAAAGACTATAAATCGCTACGGCTATTAAACATGAGGTAGTTAAGTGCATACTACTTCCACGTGAAGCAGTAATACTACATTATAATAATAATATAATTAAACTGAAGATATGAAAGATGAAAATTTTGTAGCATGATGATATATTTATATCTTTTTCAAGAATATATAAAGTGATATATATATATATATATATATATATATATATATATATATATATATATATATATATATATATGCATGTTTCATTAAAAACGACAGACAAGGTACTACGGTTGAGCTTTTTATTTAATTTTTCTTGTGTTCTGACAAGAGCTTTCTTTTCTGGACAAAGGGTGTGTAAGAACTGTCCGAATGTTTTGTATTTCCGAGCGCTTTCGGCTATAACTTTAGCCATTATCAAGGATGATTCGATTATCAGCTTAGTAGAGTGTGTGCGTTCTGTGTATGTTCAGTGTGTGGTAGTAATGTTTTTAATTTCCGAATACGGTTAGCACATTTTGGCTTTGTTCATAGTTAATATTGCTAAGAGTTGGCTTATTCTTTTTTATTATTAGAGCTTCCATTATTTTTAGTCATTTTTTGCAAGTGGATGCAGTTAATATAAAAAGCTCAACCGTAGTACCTTGTCTGTCGTTTTTAATGAAACATGCATAAAGGGAGGATTGCTGCCTAAATATACAACTATCAAATATATATATATATATATATATATATATATATGTTAAGACTTTTTTATCTTTATACATTCTTTTTATAGATACAAATATTTAAATAAACGCTCTGTTTATAAGAAACAGTATTAAACAACATTTACCGGCCTGAATATCCGAGAAATTTTCACAGAAAATATTCGTCCTCCGACAGGATTCGAACATGTATCCTTTACGTAACCGTCATTTAGCTTGACGTGCCTTTACCGATTTGGCTACTAAGGAGCGTTCGTTTAGCAAGGTCGAATTTACTGTATTTAAACTTCAATCTTCCATGAATCTCTCACGTACATTCATATCTGCTCATGGCGTATCAAATGTAAACAAATGACGACACACATTATTAAATGGACAAAGTCCGACAATTATTTTAAGACATTTTTATGTTTAACATTTTTCTTATAGATACAAATATTTAAGTAAATACTTAAATATTTGTATCTATAAAAAAATGTTAAACATAAAAATGTCTTAAGATAATTGTTTTTTGTCCATTTCATATATATATATATATATATATATATATATATATATATATATATATATAAAGTGAACATTTTAAGTCAACACTTAGGGCGACAGTCTGTTTCATAGCATGAAACAGACAGGCCTGACGATTTGCATATAATGTTCACTTTTATATTTGCACACGCTCTATCTCTGATATTGAGCACTTTATTCCATAAATATAGCACACCTTAAGACTATATATATATATATATATATATATATATATATATATATATATATATATATATATAAAGTTCAGTGCAGATAACATTAAAAAGATTTTAGAGTTCCATGAAAATGAGTGTATACAACGTCTAAAAACACACTATCCAGCCGGGCTAAACCATAAATTTAACAATATAGATAGTACTAATATATAACTTTACAAATCAAAACCTACTCACATTTCTCACCCTCACAAGACAGACATGCGTACGGAGGTGTTGAGGCCTCACACTTATACACACACCCACACGAATATACACACTTACACACATCATACTCACGCACTCCCTAATGAGCCAAATGATAACACATACCCACAGCAATACACACGCTTACACATATACTCACTCACTCCCTAAGTACCAAATAACACACACACAAACACTTAACAGAGATACATCCCCTCTCCAGGACCAATACAACTGTCAAACTGACCATGGGAATTCAAAGCAGCATGAATACATCCAGCTGTTATGTCAAATAACAACTTAAAAGAGACTGTTTGACCAAGACAAGGAATGTTAAAAGATTCATGTTAAAAAGATAAAAAAAAATAAAAAAAAAAACAAATGAAAACTACAGACAAAAGTTCATTTTCTCCATCCAGACATTCATTTCTGTAGTTTACTGCTACCAGCAAGAAGAAATATTTTTTCTATGCCGACAATGGCCATTTTGGCCGAAACTAGTCGAGGAATCTAAATGAAATAATAATAACAAAAGCGAAAGAATATTAATCTACAACCCAGTGTATCTGAAGATTTTGTTATTGTTCAATATATATATATATATATATATATATATATATATATATATATATATATATAATTGAGAAAAATTTTTCACTTACCTCATGTTTACTTCACAATTTCGTAGATGCAACTACTCATCAGAGCAGGGTCAAACTGCTAATATTTTTCGATTTCTTTCTACTTTTATTGTGCGTTATTTTGCGTTATTTTCTTTTTTTCTTTCGACGGGCGCTGATTGATTGTTTACTTCATTTCCGCTCCCTTTCTTTTTCTTCTCTTTTTTCCTCGCCTTCTCTGGTGACATCCGCTTTATTGTATAAAAATATGTACAATGTTAAGGAGCATACTAAAAATAAACCAGTGGAAAAAATACAAAAGACACAATTAATTGGTTTAACAACACCACAACAAAAATATGTTCTTTCCTACAACTAGACATAAATACTTTTACCAACCACACACTAGACAATATACTAAACATGGCAAAACAATACATAAACATTTCAAACAAATATCTAAGCATTATTAAACACTGAAGAAGCAAAATACTACGGCAACCAAACATAGACAAAAAACATAACATCAATAAAAGCAGCATTAGCAATATCGACCATAATTCATGTAGCAATGAGCAGCTATGACGATGCAGAAATATGCGAACTCATAGGCCTATACATCATCAATAAATTAATACACATCATTAATAAAAAAAACATAGGCTTATACAGGGACTACGGTCTAATAATCGTAAGAAACTGGAACGGCAGAACCAAAAAAAAAAAAAAAAAAAAAGAAAAGAAAACACATTATAGAAAGCTTCAAAACATTAGGATTTTAAATAAACATAAAACGTATTAGATATATAATTTAAGCTAAACAAACATACATATAAACTGTACGGAAAAGCAAGCAACAACCCTATATACATCAACAAAACTCCAACCACCCTCATAACGTTTACACTCATACACATTTATATAACATCATTTATTCACTTACCTTTATTACACATTAAATGACGTCACTTATGATACTCCATAATTTACCTAGACGTTTCAGTTAGGCCAATATATATTCCTTAAATTTAAATATTTCAAAATCAAACAACCCCTTTACATCTGTTTATAAATAGTTGTTGCAAAATAAAATCTTTACATTTGCCTTGATTAAATCGAGACTAGTGAGGACTTCGTTGAGACTCTGAGGTATTATGGGAAACTACATTAAAATGGTAATTAAGAATGTACTGTTTTGGTGCAAGGAATATTGTATAGTTTGTATGGGTCAGTGATTGTGGCTATTCTAATATAGGTTCAAGATAAGACAGTTTGATGACCTACCTTCCCCATCCCCCTTTGGTCTTGTTCCACATTTTTGTTTTAACAGAGATAAATAATTTTTTTTGCCTTGATTAATCAGAGAACGAAACGCGTTGGCTACGATAAGAATTCCTTTGATCTCCTTTCATATTGTAATTATATTCTTCTTTGCATATATATATATATATATATATATATATATATATGTATATATATATGTGTGTGTGTGTGTGTGTGTACGTGTGTGTGTGTGTGTGTGCGTGTGTGCGTGTGTGTGCGTGTGTTTGAGAGCTGGCGTCTTATGAATCTAGTGAGAGAAAAAGTGGATGTAATACAAATTTTAACTATTTTCAGATATACAACGAACGTCTTTGCGAAAATGTATACCCCTTTACAATAAAATGTTCAATATATGTAATAGACATAAATATGTCTATTCTTTTTAAGAAGACATGTTTATAAGAAGTGATGCTACCAATATATATATATATATATATATATATATATATATATATATATATATATATATATATATATATAAAGTGAGTGAAACAGAAGTCATCGATCAGGAACCCTACACAGCTAGTTCGAAGCAATGATTGTGATTTGTGATTTTTCAAACGAGCTTATTACTGTGAAGAATTAGCGCAAACTTTTTTCTTCTGAGGTCTTTATTCGTCTGTGATAGGTTTACTTAATATCGATTTGTAGAAAAAATCTTTAAAAGGACTCTTTTGAAAGAAACTCTTGAAAAAATACACAAATCCCTTGGCACCGCTATCAGTCTTTTGACAGAAAGTAGAATTGTTATTTTTTATTTTTTTGACTTTTGGTGTCTGACCCATTTCTTCCTGGGAAGAATTGCGTTAGTCAGAGAGTGAGAGATTGAGAGAGAGAGAGAGAGAGAGAGAGAGAGAGAGAGAGAGAGAGAGAGACAGGCATCAAAATGTCATTTATCCTTAAATTCATTCCTTCCCCTCTGTGCCTCAAGCCACGTTCCAGACACCCTCCACTTCAGCTACGACATCCATGGAACAGCCAATTACACAAAAAGTCGCTCGTCATGATTGTTTTTATCCTCAGTTGAACTTGGCACACGACTGAAGAAAAGGTCGTTTGGCTCGCATTTTGGCCTTCTTAAAATCGTGTTGTTTTGCCAAGCATATAAAAGACTGTGTTTATTTACTCTCTTCAGAAACGGTGTGATGTACTAGAGGAAAGAACGAAAGAAATACATACAGTGAAGTTACAAAGATAGCAAATGTTAGTCGATTGCCAGCTGGTGTCCTTGATAATATCACTAGAGAACGTTGATTCAAAAGACGGGACAAGGAGAAGAGAAATATTGATGCGAATGTAACACTAGTAACTTGTATTCAGATTCTCATAGAAATTAGAGATTTCTAAATACTTATAGACTTATTTCTTTTTATTACCAGTTTGCTGATTCGTAGGCTATTTTATTTCCAGTTTGCTGATTCGTAGGCTATTTTATTACCAGTTTGCTGATTTGTAGGCTATTTTATTACCAGTTTGCTGATTCGTAGGCTATTTTATTACCAGTTTGCTGATTTGTAGGCTATTTTATTACCAGTTTGCTGATTCGTAGGCTATTTTACGCTTGAACAGATGTTAATGATTTTTACCATTTAAAATTCGAAATAATATTCACTTGCATAGATAACGTTTTAAGTTAAATAGTAAGGAACTATTAACGTTTTTTTATACACACTTATTCTCTCTTATATTTATTTATAGCAATATATACAAAAACAGACTTACCCTATTTTGCATAAAGGCAAACGACTACGAATAAGACCCTTTATTTGACATGGGGTCTGGGTGCATTTACGACTACGTTGATTCTGCTAATTTGCAGAATACAGTGGCCACTCTATTTTCTCTCTCCGGGGTAGACGGGTCCTACTAACATATTTTATCTTAGTTTGAAGGTTTTGTTGCAGGTATAGTGAGATTACACTATTGTGTATAATGTTAAACGACTACACATATGTCAATTAAAGATTAGAAAAAAAACCTGATATTTCGCGACTGTCTTGATACGCAATCTTTTAGGCAACGTCGTGATTCCATCCTCATTTGTCACATTTCTTGGGGATGAACTGTTCTAAGTGATTCTTTTATAGCTTTCTCATAGAAATTAGAGATTTCTAAATACTTATAGATATTCTTTTTACTACTTGCCTCATCATCACTTTGCTGCTTCGTATGCTCTTTTACGCTTGCGCAGATGTTAATGTTTTTCAAACTTTCGTAGATTTTAACTATTTAAAATTCGGAATAATATTTGATTGCAAATATAAGGTTTCAAGAAAATATTAACGCATTTTACACACACTTATTCTATCTTACATGTATGATTGTCAGTGACGACTTGCCTTTCTCCAATTTCTCTTCAGCTTTATTCCACAAATCAATATAAGTATTAATTAAATAAACCTTTACTACTACATTGCAGACAACACAAACATGGCGTCGTCGATAGGATCACTAACACCAATGGACAAAGAAAATTCTGTAGAAGTCTGGATTAGTTTTTTACGGTTCAGGGGAGAATCAAGAAGAAGGACATGAAACCCTTTTGTTTCCTGCAGATGTAGTGAGATTTCCCTATTTTGTATAAAGTTAAACGACTACGAATAAGTCAGTTAGATATTAGAAGAAAAAAAAAGGCGTTTCTCGCCTTGCTTGATACGCAATCTTTTAGGCAACGTCGTGATTGCACCCTCATCCCACAGACTTTCACATCTCTTGAGGATGAACTGGTCTAAGTGATTTTTTATAGCTATCCGGCAAAATTCTTCCTCATATGACAATTTACGAGGCGATCCAAATACGTGGTAATCCGTATGTGCCAACTCTATCTATACATATATAATTAGTCATCTCGGAAAATATCTCCTAATGTCTCTCGGCTCTGTAAAGGTCAGCGTTGTCTAGATGCAAAACGATATCTTTCCGATTGGACAATTGCTATTGATTTTCATTGATTGCTACATTTTAATCTGACCGATTGAGAATAATAACTGTTAATCTAACATCCAATATGGATTTGGGACGGTCCTGTAGTACACAATATCCTTCTAGGCCCACCAGATATACTGTATCAACTTCTTTAGGTGCAGACAAGTATTTTGTAGTAGCTCAAACGCCACCTATGGGAGGAATACGAATTTTGTTTCTGAAGTAATAGTAAAATCACGAAAACAATGTTTGCTGGTTCAAAAATTGTAATAAAAAATTGTCTGGCAAGTATAAGGAAGAAATAATAACTGCTTTATTAAAAGTCGTAATTTAAAAATATTACTGGAGACAACCGACATGAACAGTTCGCCTCATCAAAAATGGTTTACTGAATATTATAGCCAAAATGAATAAACATGCCTGGAGTGATGATCTGTTCGAGTTACCTCCCCTTTCTATTGTAACTTTTCTATACATGTGACTCTAAAAGACGTCTACACGGCAGCCATGTTTGAGGTTAATAAAAGCCTCCTTAAGCATCACGCCAACTCTTTTTTTCATTACAATAAATAATCAGAAATGGTTATATATATATATATATATATATATATATATATATATATATGAATGGAGTTAAAGAACTTGATTTATCCAGTATGATATTCTGTATGTTATGATAACAATTTAAGAACGTTTTGTTTTATTTCTTTACTCGTCAGGCATATCAACAAGCGTTGAGTTATCTAATCCCGGAACCAGTTTATTTTTGCGTTATTTTGTGGCACCATTTACCAAGGCAAAAAGAAAAGAAAGGAAAGAGAGGAAGGAAAGAAAGGAAAAGAGAGGCGAGACCCAAACGTGGATGGTAAGTAGGACACCCACGACTAAGAGACAATGGATAAAGGATATTTTGATAACTAACAAATGGCGAAGAGTGTCATTACAATGGCAGGGAAATTCTGAGTGGATGGGGGAATCGTTGTGTTCTGTCGACGAGCTGTGTTATCGGGGATACATAAACAAACCGCTAATGCGGGAAAACATCTGATTAAGCAAACCACAGACCGACTAGCCAAAGAAAAATCCAACTGAAAATGTTATTTTGATAATTGACAAAAAACAGGTGAACTACAGGGCTTTGGATAGATATGAAAAATTAATTGTGTAAAAACCGCACACGAGGTGGCGAGTGACCGTTTTCTTTCGACTGAACATTTTTTAGCTGTGATAACAAACTATGTTATCAGTAATGTTCACCAAAGATTGACTGGAACCATAGAAATGTTTCTTTTCGAGGCGACGGTCTGGCCGTGTTAAATAGACCACCCATTCTGATAATTAGCGATAATCTGACTGACGATATCCAGATGAGACCGGGGTAAAATAATTTTTTTTTTTTTTGAGATATATATTTTTTTTTGAAACAAAGCCCGCGGGATCGTACACGCCCGTCTGGACATCATTGGCCGAGTGGTGATCACGTGACGCAAGGAGGAAGCTGTCACCGCCCATATAGAGGATGGGTATGAGAGGTCGCCACGAGGAAGTGGGGAGGACAGCCGACACCCCTGAAGACATGGTGAGAAGGTGGGAGTAAGAGAAGACTCCCCAAAAATGGAAAGAAGTGGAAAATTCCTAACCAAAAATAAAAGAAGTGGATAGGTATTTAGAATTATCGAGGAACCCCCGCCGACAAACCCACCCCGGTTTTTGTCGGCGTCCATATAAGTGAAGTCGCAGCGAGCGAAAAATCAGTTCAGCAGAGAGTTCCAGAGTTGAGTTCGGGAGAGACAGTTCCCAGAGTCAGTCTCCAGTGCTCAGTTGAAGCAAGCCTCGCATCGACTGACCAAGATTCGCGCAATTTCCGGATTCATCTTCCATCCAGGAACAATTATTTTGAAGAGCGACTTAGATCCAAACCACCAAAATAAGTTTTTTTCGACTTTCGCCCGAAGACACATCAAAAAATCAATTTCTTAAAGAGCAAACAACTTGAAGTGTTAAAACTCGCCTAACGGAAAACAACGTGTCACAATCCATAGAACGGGTCGGGAGATAGACGCAGTCCTATGTATCCAACAACTAGACATGAAGTTTGTTATCCTTTTCTTTGATACCTTGAACTTTTGAGTTATCATTTTATTTCTTTTATACGTATTTGTGCGATACCACCCCCACTTGGACCCAACTTGCATTGCGGCCCCAACGACTGAGTGATTTCGTCTGCCTAAGATCGATTCACAACGTGGGTAGGCGGACTGGAGATCAACGCAGTTACTTTGGTAACCAGGCGTTGGAAGCGAGTTGGGAACGACGAGGCTGATATCGAATGTAACCAGATTCCCATCCGAATCACCAAAAGGTTAGAACGTCACATTTGGGTGCCGAGACCGATACCAAGCCAGTTGGTAGTCACAGGACGAGACAACACGACTGACGCGACAGGCGGACGTCACGTTTGGAGCGGCGACACCCGAACGAAGCAGCGAGGAGCGAGCGAAGGCTGTGTTCATGGACGTCACATTTGACATTATCACCGTGAAAGTTATGGGTTAAACTTCCTGGTATGCTAGTCTTTTAAACGTTGATTAGTAAGCAGTCTAGATGTAAGTCAATTCGGAATTCAAAGCCGTGGAGAAGACAACGATAAACTAATTTCTTTAAAAAAATCACTACATTTCTCATATATTAAAGAAAAAGGAATCTATGGTGAGCTATACTCATCAACGTTCCGTGGGGATATTGTAATTAACGATAATAACGCATACGTTAGATCTGTTCTATTAAGAGAAGGAGTTTGAATAGTAAGGTGAAACCATATGGTTATGCTTCTAAGCGTAAGGCCTAATGTATGAGGTACCCATGGGGCAGTCATATGGCCTGGTGAAAAATCGAGGTGTCGAATGCCGGAAAGTTTACCGTTCGAATTCCCTGTAGAATAAGCTAATAGACAAATTCTTATACAATAACATTGTGACAAATTATATGAAAAGGTAGAAA